CCATTCCTTTAAGCTGTGTTGTACCAAATGACAGGAAGTAACTTCGTCCTGTGCCTGCTCAGGGCGCAGGCTGGGTGGTGGGTGGGAAACGGGGGACTCTGGTGGCAGGGAGGTGACAGTGACGGCAGGGCTGGTATTGGAATAGGCCTGAAACCAACTGTATGAGGAACAATTTAGTAAAACCATCGTGTTTTAATTAATTTTTTTCTTTTTTTTTCTTTTTGGGTCACACCTGGCGATGCTCAGGGGTTACTCCTGGATTTGCACTCAGGAATTACTCCTGGCGGTGCTCAGGGGACCATATGGGATGCTGGGAATCGAACCTGGGTCGGCCGCGTGCAAGGCAAACGCCGTACCTGCTGTGCTATCACTCCAGCCCCAATCGTGTTTTTTTTTTTCTTTTTTGGGTCACACCCAGCAATGCTCAGGGGTTACTTCTGGCTCATGCACTCAGGAATTATTCCTGGCAGTGCTTGGGGGACCATATGGGATGCCGGGGATCGAACCTGGGTCGGTCACGTGCAAGGCAAATGCCCTACCCGCTGTACTATCACTCCAGTCCCCCCAGTCGTGTTTTAATTTTTAAGATATTACTTAAAAGGAGGATGGGGTGGGTGGGGTGCTTGCCTTGCTCATGGCCGACCCAGTTCCCTCCGGGACCTTCCCACTTGGTTCCCGACACCCACCAGGAGTGATCCCTAAGGACAGAGCCAGGGGGAGCCCTGAGCACCCGGAAGGTTGTTGAGGGCGTGGACTCATAGTAACGTATCACCATATGACCACAATTATTAACGATGCTTTTCTGTTCCGTTTAATCTGAAGCATCTGCTCTTAACCAGATTCTGTTGGAACAACAAGGGAACATTCTGTCTTCAGAGGTTGTACAGTCTTAATAGAGACACAGTTAATGCATTGAAAAAACAAACGGCGGTGGACGTTGGCCACTGGGGCCGCAAGGCTGACCAGGCCCTCTCCTGTGCCTTCAACCGCAGGGCCCGGCCCCTCCCAGCTGCCAGTGGCATTGTCTGGATGGACATTTTGGGTTAACCCCTAAAGACATTGAAAACACAGCTTAGAGCTGAGCACCAGCTGAATCTTCCCCAGAATCCCTGTGCGGATCAATTATTCAGCCCTTACAAATGCCAAGTTCAAAAGCAGTTTATAGACATTTCAGACTGACAAGAGGTTCAGGGAGTCTGGAGACAAAAAGGACTGGCAGCGGGGGGCTGTGGGTGTGGCGCCGACCCCAGGCACCCACACGTCCCCAGTCCCTTGGGCCAGTGCCACAGTCCCTTAACCTGGCATTTAACCTGGCATTAACCTGGCATGTGCTGAGCGATAGCACAGCGGTAGGGCGTTCGCCTTACAAGTGGCCAACATGACCGACCCGAGTTCGATTCCTCCGCCCCTCTCGGAGAGCCCGGCAAGCTACCGAGAGTATTCGATATGCCAGACACAGTAACAACAAAGTCTCCAATGGAGACGTTACTGGGCCCGCTCGAGCAAATCGACGATCAACGGGAGGGCCTTTACCTTTTACCTTTACCTTATTTATTTATTTGTTTATTTATTTATTTATTTTTGCTTTTTGGGTCCCACCCGGCGATGCTCAGGGGTCACTCCTGGCTTTGCACTCAGGAATCACTCCTGGCGGTGCTTGGGGGACCATCTGGGATGCTGGGAATCGAACCTGGGTTGGCCGCGTGCAAGGCAAACACCCTACCCGCTGTGCTATCACTCCAGCGATTTTTTATTTTTTTGATTTTTTATTTTTTTACCCAGGCACTTATCACATGCGCACTGACGTTTCAGATGGAGAAAGCCGTCTCCATAGGAAGGAAAAGTGGCTGGCACTGGGTTCTGGCGCCTTCACCCGGCTCTACCCAGGAACCCCGGCCTCACCCACCCCCAGACCCCCTCCCGCTGACGGCTCCCCTCGGCTGGACCTACCTTCAGCTCTGATCGCGACCACCCCCATCCCTCCCTGACTCAGGGTCCAGCCCAGCAGCTGTGGACCCTTAACCCCGCTGACGCCCCGGGTCCGACAATCCACTTCAGCTGCCAGTCCTGGGCCCGGATTCGCACATAGAGCTCTGAAATCACCTGCCCTTGCCCCTCGGCGGGGAAAGATCCTGTCAGCAGCGACAGCGGCCTCCGCCCCGAGCCCCCAACACATGGTCGCCAGTTCTTGGCTATCACCATTTCCTAAGGCCCCTTCAAACAGACAAGGGTCAGCGGGCAGCTCTGACGGGACCCCCCCAGGTTATGAGGAGACGAGGGTCAGTGAGCAACTCCAACGAGACAAGATGAGGGAGATGAGGGTTAATGGTCAGCCCTTCCCACTGTGCTATTGCTCCAGGCCCGGTTCTTGCCTTTATGAGGCTGGGTGATCCCAGTTTCACCCCGAGCACACAGCCAGGGCAGCCCCCAAGGACTTCCTGGGGTCGCCCCCATGGAAACAAAGTTGGGAGACAGAGAGTTGAACCCCGGGGTTCAGGCTGCTCCTGCCTTCCCAGCAGGCCGGCTCGGCCCCAAAGGGCAAAGGCAAGGCCGGGTGTGCCTGGGAACATGCAGGGTGCAGGTGGGGTGTAGCCACCTGCCTTTCGGCCCCTCGAGGTGCTGCCCCTATGCTGCCTGGCTGCTGCCCCCCTGGCACTCGGCCCTACAGCCATGCCCAGCCCTCCACCAGCTGGGCTCTGCCCTTGTCCTCCCACTGGCTGGGAATGGCTGGGCTCCTGCTTGCAGGTGGAGACTCGCTGACCATGAGTGTCTCCAGCATCCCCAGTGCGAGTCCCCACCTCCCAAACAGCCGCCAAGCTACACACTTGCAGCTCCCATTTGGGTATTTTGGTGTTTTTTTTTTTTTTTTTTTTTACTTTTTGGACCACACTTGGCAACGCTCAGGGTTGCTCCCGGCTCTGCACTCAGGGATCACTCCCGGAGGGGCCTGGAGGACCATATGGGGGTCGGGGACCGAACCTAGCGTGGCTGTGTGCCAGGCAAATGCCCTTCCTGTCCGACCATCTCTTCAATCCCTATAATTTGGTTTGGAGGCTACATGTGGCAGTGCTCAGGGCTTCTTCCTGGCTCTGTGCTCAGGGATCACTCTTGGCTGGGCTCGGGCGGCCCTGTGGGGTTCCGGGGATCAAATCCAGGCTGGTCACCTGCAAGGCCAGCATCTCAGCCCCTTCTTTTGCATTTTAATTGTTTTGTTTTCTTTCTTTTTTGTGTGTGTGTTTTGGGTCACACCCAGTGATGCTCAGGGGTTACTCCTGGCTCTGCACTCAGGAATAACCCCTGGAGGTGCGCAGGGGACCATATGGGATGCTGGGAATCGAACCCGGGTTGGCCGCGTGCAAGGCAAACATCCTCCCTGCTGTGCTATCGCTTGGGCCCCTGTTTTGTTTTCTAAGCTGCAGCATTGGCAATGGGAGACCATCCTCCCAGCAGCCAGGGGCTCTTCTTTCCTAGATTCAGGGCTCAGGAGCCTGGCACAGGGCTTGGGGTCACCACGAGATCCCTCACGGTGTGGGTCGCTTCTTGCCTTGAGCATGTCCCTGGGCCCAGGGTGCCTCCGCTCCTGGGGATGACCCGAGCTCAGTGCTCCGTGGGGAGCCCAGGGCTGACCCAGCCTCCTCCCCGCCTGCTCTGTTCTGAAGCAGTTTCAGGAATTCTGTAGGGGAGCTCCCGGCCCTGAGCCAGATGGGCGGTCAGGGTCCTCCGGCCCAGTGTCTTCCCGCAGGCGGAGGCCACAACGCAGACCTAGGCCACAACGCAGGCCTCGGGACAAGAGGCCACTTCTCCTTGGCCTGGCCCAGCTCGAGGCTGCGTCTTTGTCCCTCTTGGCCTCTCCGCATCCTTCTCTGCCCTTGCCCGTGCCTGGGAGGCCTGGCAGTGCAGGGCAGCCTGCCTGCTGCAGGTCGGAACCGGACGGGCCGGCTGGATGAGGAGGAGCAGTCGGAGCTGGGCCTTGGGGAGCGCTCGCCCGGCACTCGGCACCGGGGTTCGGGTGCTGGCCACACGTACCACCGCCCCCGGCCCACCCCTAGCACGGAACCAGGAGTCGGTCCTGAGCACTGGGCCAGGCAGTCGGTCCTGAGCACAGCATCCAAATGGAGCACAGTGAATGTCTGGATCCCCTGCTTGGAAAACGGAGATAAAGACCCTCTAAAACTGCTTGTGGGTGGAGCGACAGCATAGCGGCGCGGGCGCTTGCTTGCTCGGGTTCGAACCCCGGCATCCCACATGGGCCCCGAGCACCGCCAGGAGTGATTCCTGAGCATCGCCGGGTGGGAGCCAAAAAGCACAAAGCAACTTAATAAATGAACTGAACTAAGTTAAATTGTGCTTGCTCGCTCGGGAGCTGTCTGCTTGACAACTCTCCTTTTCTGGGGGTGCCTTTGGGTCACCCCCGATGGTTCACGTTAAAGGCCCCGGGGCGGCCGGACAGCGGGGTGGGCGCCGGCCTGGCACGCGGCGGACGTGAGTTCGATCCCCGGCGCCCCGTGCGGTCCCGGAGCACCGCCGGGCGGGTGCGGCCCCAGCACCCCGAAATGCACCTGCCGCAGGTTTCACGACTCGAGCCAGACCCCCGGCTGCGGCCTCCCGGGAGGCGGCGCCCGACACTGCGCACGCGCCGCGCCACGCCCCGCCCACCGGCCGCCACTGCGCACGCACCTCATCACGCCCCGCCCCGCCCGGCCACTTCTGCGCACGCGCCGCATCACGCCCCGCCCACCGGCCGCCACTGCGCACGCACCTCATCACGTCCCGCCCCGCCCGGCCCGGCCACTTCTGCGCACGCGCCCCATCACGCCCCGCCCACTTTCCGCCACCGCGCACGCGCCCCGTTGCGCCCGGCTACTTCTGCGCACGCGCCCCGCCACGCCCCGCCCACCGTCCGGCACTGCGCACGCGCCCCATCACTCCCCGCCGGCCAGCCGCCGCTGCGCACGCGCGCGGGTCAGCGCGTCGGCGCGTCGGCGCGGGGCGGGGCGGGGCGCGGCCGCCGCGGCCAATGGCGCAGGTGGCGGGAAAGACGAGCGCGGGCGCGCCGGGCCCGCAGGCCGCGGGCGGGGGCGTCCCCGGGGCCGAGTCGGGCACGGAGGTGAGGGCGCGGGGGGCGGTAGCGGGGAGGCGCGGGGGTGGGGGGCGGGCCCGGGCGGAGTGACCGGCCGGCGGCGCGCGGGCGGAGCTGCGGGGTCTCCCGGCCGTGGTCGAGGGTCTCCCCGGGCCGTGGTCGGGGGTCTCTCCTGACCCTGTTCAGGGACCGAGCCTGCCCCCAGCCCCGAGCCCTGCGGGTCGTGGTCACGCCCACAGTGGGCGGGGCGTGTCCCCCGGGTCCCACAGGGCACGTCGGGGTCTGGCCAGTGGCCCCTCCTCCAGGAGGGTCAGGCCGGCTCCAGCCCCCCAGCCAGGGGACTGACCGCAGAGATACAGGCTGTCCCCCCCCCCCCCCCGCCCTGCGCTGTCCCCTCCCGGGCCCCTCTCCCCTTCCTGGAAACCGAACTCGGTCGAGCAGCGAGGGGCGTCCAGGTGGATACACGGCGCGTTACTATGTATCCGTCCAGTGTGGACTTGCGGTTTTTCTAAATTCAGAGCTGGGGGAGACAGTGGGGGGCACTTGCCTTGCGCATCCCGCCGCCCGGGTTCGCTCCCGGCTTCCTGGTTCCCTGAGCACCGTCGGGTGCGACCCCCAGACGTCGGCCCGGTAGGGAGACCCCTGACAGTCCTGGTTTGCGCCCACCGCCCGCCACCTCTCCGCTCCCCGCCCCCCCAGTGGTCAGCAGCGGCTGTATTTGTCGTGGGCTCCGCCCTGGTCCTGCCGCTGTTCCCTGTCTGTGTTTGGTCCTCAGCCTGCAGTGCTTGGGGGTTGCTCCTGGCTCTGCCCAGAGCCCCCGGGTGGGCTGCAGCGAAGCACCCGCTACTTGCTGTGCTGGTGCCCGCCCGGCCCCTCAAGGACAAAACGCCTGCCTCGAGCGAGACAGCAGGGTGTGTGTCTGTCCACGCGTGTGTGTGTCCATCTGGGCCGCTGCCCTGCTGTGAGGCGCACGGTGCCCACCGTCCCTGTGGCTCTCACGCTGGTGTCAGAGCTGCCAGGTGCCCTGGCTGGGGGGGGGGCGGGGCCCGGTTCACCCTGCAGACCCTCAGCGCTGCGCCCCCAGCCTCACCCACCAGACTGCCACTGCTCCCACTCGAGCCAGACACGACCACTGCACAGCCTTCAGGCCCCTTTCAGATGTCTGTGCCCCCCCTGCCCCCCCATTGCGTCCCACAATGGAAAGACACTGCTCCATCCCCACACAAGCCCCTAGAGACCCCCAGACAGGCACAGTCTCTCCCAGTCCCTAGAGACCCCCAGATGGGCAGTCTCAGCTCCTAGAGACCCCCCAGGCGGGCACAGTCTCGATCCCTAGAGACCCCCAGATGGGCACAGACTCTCAGCCCCTAGAGACCCCCAGACAGACGCAGTCTCTCTTAGCCCTTAGAGACCCCCAGACGGGCACAGACTCTCTCGGCCCCTAGAGTATCCGTTGTTCCCTGAGTGCCTGGAGTCCTCCCTGCACGGCTGTGCCTGGTTTGCTGCCCAGCCCTGCCCCCCCTCCCCCTCGGCCGCAGCGTTCACCCCCTGCCCCCCCATCCTGCTCCTGGCACTGTAGGCCCGTTCCGCCTCAGGGCCTTGGCACCCGCTGTCCTGCCCTGAAAGCCAGGTTTCAGGCCTGCACAGGTCAGCCCGTCCCTGGAACCCCTGCAGTGGCCGGCTCCTGCAATCCCCGTGTCCCACGCAGCCCCTGCCTTCGTGGGTGACTCACTCCTCTTCCCTGGCGAGAGACTGAGGGGAATTGCCTCAGTTTCCCGCTCGTCTGGCCTCCCTGTAGGCAGAGGACCTTCTGTGACTTGGTTTCTCTGGTTTGAGTTGGACTCTGCTCAGGAATTGGGCCTGGTGGGCTCGGATGGAACCTGGGTGGCCGCACGGCCCGCGCCCTTCCCTCTGCCCTCCCACCCTGTGCTCGGGGCCCAGGGCTCACTCCTGGGGGGCTCAGCGCCCTGCTGCCTCCCTGGGCCTGGGCTTCTGTCGGGGATTGTCCACCCGGGCGCGCCTGTCGCGACGGGGTAGAAGCTGGAGGCATGTGCCGGGTCTCAGCCGGGGCGGGGACGGCTCCCTGCGTCTCTCTGCTCCGTGGGGGGCACGCAGCAAGTCGGACGGAAAGACGCCCCCAATGCAACTGTTCCTGGGTGCGGGGAGCAGTGGCAGAAGCCACCGGGGGCCCCCAGAGGTCCCCAAGATGAGCCTCGTCGGCTTTGGTTCTGTCCTGGTCCAGTTCTTGTGGGGTCCTTTCCTGTCTAATGGATAGTGGGGCTTCCTGATGAGACTCTGTGTGTGTGTGTGTGTGTGTGTGTCTGTGTGTGTGTCTGTGTCTGTGTGTCTGTGTGTGTGTGTGTTTCTGTTATCAGGAGTTTGTCTAGTGTCAGCTTGTTTCCTGTGAGAGTGTGTGTGTGTGTGTGTGTGTGATATCGGGGGGTTTATCTAGTGTCAGCTCCTTGTCTGTGAGACTGTGTGTCTGTGTCTCTGTGTGTGTGTGTGTGTGTGAGAGAGAGAGAGAGAGAGAGAGAGAGAGAGAGAGATACCAGGAGTTTATCTAGTGTCAGCTCGTTGCCGTGAGACATGAATGCTGAGGAAGTGGTCGGCTGTGCGGAGAGTACATTCTGTTTGGTTTCTAGGCATTTATCTGTTTTCCCATTTCTAAGTGGGACGGCCCGGGGGTAGAGTTGCCGCCTGTGCGGCCACGCGTGGCCCTGTTGGCTCCTGTCTATGGGCCCAGGCGCAGGAGGGCGTGTCCCCTGTGGGCCCCGGGTTGCCCCTGCACTGCCCAGCACCAGGAAAGCATGTGTGTTCACACACGGGCTGGTGTCCAGTGCGTGGGATCTGGGGAAGAGCCGGGCCCCGTCTCACACCTGGGCAGGGTCCGTTCCTTCACTGAGGGGCCCCTGCTCGGGGCCACTCTGTGCAGCTCCGTACAAGGAGGACAGTGCTGCCCCCACCCTCCTCTTGCCGCCCTCCCGCCCTCTGCCTGCTCCTCGATCCCTGACCTGCGTGCTTCCGACGTCAATAGCTGCATGGGGGGCCGCCTCCAGTTTGTGGAACAAACCCAGCCGCCTTGGGTGGGGCTGGGAAGTTTGGCTTGGGAAGCTTGTCATTTCTCGATGGTGCTGGGGGCCGTTAGGACGCATTCAGAAGGGCTTGGGGGTCTGCGGTGCCAAGAACCAGACCTGGGTTCCTGACTGGTGCGCACTGGGCCCCGCCCACCCACGCCCTTGTGTAGCCTGTGGTGTGTGTATATATATACATTCTTCCTGCATTAACATACGCCTCAGAGACTTGGGCCCTACAAAAACAGGATGAGAATGCTATTCCGGTCTCTCAAAGAGGAATCGAAAGAGTTATGCTTGGAGTATCACACTTCACTCAAATGAGAAAGAATCCGGAGTTCCGACCTCCGTTGACGATCAAGAATCAGGGACGCTGTCTCATTTGCCAAGGTGTCAAAAATCAGATGGGCTGGACATGTAATGAGGTTTACAGACGACCGCTGAACTAGAGTCATTACTGACTGGATTCCATGGGACGTCAAAAGACCGCGTGGACGCCCACCTACAAGATGGTCAGACTTCTTTGTCAAGACCCTGAATGATCGGTTTGAGGCTCTGCATGTTCCTAGAACGAACAGATGCCACTGGGCGACGCTAGCACGCAACAGGGATGAATGGAGACGTTACTGGCATCCACTCGAGTAAATCGATGAATAACGGGGGATCAAGTGATATATATGGGGGGGCATTCCCAGCGATGCTCAGGGGTCACTCCTGGCTCTGCACTCAGGATTCACTCCTGTTGGTGCTCCGGGGACCATACGGATGCCGGGGATGGTGCCCTGGCCGCAGTTCTGTCTCTCCGCTGAGTCTGGTACACAGATTGCTCAGGACCGGCCGGCTAACGTGACGGCTCCCCTTCCTGCTCCTGTCAGGTTTTCTCACGGCTAGAGAGCTAACACCATCGAGGTCTGGGGCAGCCCCTGGACCTGCTCCAGGAACATTCCCGGCTCCTGCCCGCAGGGATGCCTGCACGACAGCAAGCGGTCAAGGCTCGGGAGTCCCCCTCTCCCAGCGCCCCTGCTGACCGTGCTGGCCGAGGCTGCGGGGAGCCCGCACGCCCTCTGCTTTCGGGGAGCGAGTGGCGCTTCCTGGGGGAGGCAGCGTGCGGGACCGTTTCCATCGCTCAGCTCCCGCCTCAGGAAGGGCCGTTCCGGGTAGAGTCTCGTGTAAGCCCGGTGCGTTTCTTCTAGAACACGGCGGTACGGTAGCTTGTGTCTTTTCGGGCCACAGCGGTGGGGCCTCTGGGCTCCTCCTGGTGGGCTCCCGGACTCTGACTCCACGACGGCCCCGACACCTGCGTGCCAGCCTGTGCCCTCGCCCGTGCCGTGCCCTCGCCCACTGAGTTTCTCTCCGGGCCCGGGGCCGCTTCCGTTAGTCACCGGGAAATCACAGTCATTCGTGACTGGCTCGGGCTTCCGCCGCTCCCACCCGAACCCCTTCGCCAGTGCCCAGGCCCTCCACCCGCTCCCCTCTGCCTCCCACCCACGCGTCTGCCCACCAGGGGCACAAAAAACGAAAAGTTCAGGAGCTTTTGCGTGGGGCTTCGCAGTTCTGTTGCCCGGGGGATTCACCCGTGCTCTGTGCCACTTCCTCCCGGTCACTCTCCCTCCACTGCAGCCGCGGCCCGCCCTGCCCTGGCCCCAGCCCCTCAATGCCTGGTGTCCCAGCGAAGGCCAGTTCCGTGTTCTTTGTTTCCACTGTCTCTGTGATCCCCGATCGCGTGTGCCCCACGTGTGGAACACCGTCTGTGCCACCCTCCCTCAGACCCACTTCACTCTGTGGGCCCTGCTGACTGGCCCTCCCGGCGGGTCCCGTCCACTGTGCGTCTGGGCCCTGGCCCTTGCTGGCCCCTCCGTAGGGCAGCCCCCTGCCGACTGGCCCTCCGGCCAGGTCCCGTCCACTGCATCTGGGCCCTCGCTGCTCTGTCCAGTCGTCTGTACTCGGATACTCGGG